TATATGCATTACTAATATTTTCCTGCAATTCTTCCATAATCCAGACTACTGAAGAGTTCTACATAATGAGACTTTTAAAATAAATTTGATGTCCAACAGATTTCCTACTTATTAATATGAACAGGTTCTGGCCTGTTGCTTAAAAAAAAAAATTAATACCACAATCTACAGGGAAATGCAGTCTGTAAGTATAATTTCTTTTGTGCTACTACTAACACTAACACTACACATAATCACCGTACAAAAGGCTATTAAGATTATTTGCAGAACAGTGCGCTCTCTCACACTTGCCTTTGTTGTTTAAACCACTTTGCAGAGTATAATATACAATATACTGTGTATGTAGAGGGGAAATTACTTGGATTGGCCACTCTCTTAAGATTTCGGGCTTGGAATTATGTGCACCAGGAACGATACCTATTTGTTTCAAAGTATTTTCAGATTGACAGGCTGTCATGTGCTGAACTACCTGTTCTTTGTTTTGTGCACACAAACATAAAGTACAATTGGTGCAACTGTTAACTCTTTATACTGTGTATAATCTCTGAAAATGTAAAAGAGCGAAAACATAGGACTCCCTAGTCTGTCCCAACCGCATTTCAGGTTCTGCAACTTCCCTCCACCCTCAAAATCCAGGCTCAATAAGTTATATTCCAATCTTACACAACAGAAACAGCCCCCCCCCACACACACACATTCATTTACTGTTTCCATTTCTTTGAAGGATTTTTCAGCACCTGTCCCTGCATAAAGAGGCTCAAGGAAAGATAATCAATTTCTTATCGAATTTGGAAGTACTTAGAAGCACTCACCTCTTAGCCAGGTAAGTTTGCTTTTTTTAAAAGGAAGGAGGCACTACTAGGTATAGGAACAGGAGAGCTACTTACGTCCCCCCTGTTGAACTTTGCCACTCCACCTTTTGCTCCTTGGCAACAACAAAAAAACAGCAGGAAGGAGAATGGGTGCTTACCTGGAGAGAGCCACATCACTCGGGGCCATGCAGGTCTGACCTCCATTTATCTTTAAGACAGTTGGTAAATTCCAGATCGAAGTCCAGCAAAGGCAGAAATGCAAAAATGACGCCTACTACTCCCTTGCAAGGGAAGCAAAGGAAACCACCTGGGTCTCTGCTCCCCACCTCACCTGTCTGGAGCCATTGAAAGCTTTAGACTCTGGCAGTGGTGCTGGTCTCCCACCACTTTGGCATCCCTGAAAGGTGACTCCGCATTCTCCCTGTCATTCTCCCCTCCTCACTTCAAAAGCTGTGAGACACTTTTTTAGCACCGGTTGCCCAGCTGGCATGGTCCTGTGTGCACACCTCCTCCTCCTCCTCCTCCTCCTCCTTCCCAAAGGCTCTTCTCCTTCTTCCCGGAGCTTAGCGGGAGCTGGGCATAAGGGATGGGAGGCTGCTTTTGAAACCACACCTTGGAAAACTTTGCCGGGAACGGAGGTGGGGAACCAGTCGGGAGGGATGCCCTGGAATTTGCCTAGGAGGTCGGCCTCACCAGGCAAGCTACCACCCACTGCCCCCATGCTTTGCTGGTGGCCAGGCATCCTAGGCAGGTCCGGGGAAGTTCTAGTAGGCCAGCCGCACCATACAAGCTACTGCCCGCTGTCCCTGTGCTTTGCTGGTGGCCAGGCCTCCTAGGCAAGTCTGGGGACCTTGCAAAGGCCTTGTGAGGTCCTGAACTTGCCAAAGATGCCAGCAACACTGCATAAGCTCCCACTGCCATTCCAGCACCTATGGTTACTGGTGGCCAGGCCTCCTAGGCAAGTCTAGGGACCTTGCAAAGCCCTTGCGAGGACCCCAAATTTGCCAAAGATGCCAGCCGCGCCATGTAAGCTCCAGCGCCCATCCCCTCATGCTTACTGGTGGCCCAGCGGCCCTGTGCTACAAGCGAGCCTGGAATCCTTGCAAGGCTGCAAAAGGTCACCAGACTCTCTTATAGTGCAGGGCCACAGCAGGCCGCTCCAGCTGCCCTGCAGCCCCCTCCCGCCCTGCACTTAGTTGCAGTTTACTTACCTACTCAGCAGGCAGCAATAGAGAGCCAAGCAGGAAAAGAGGTAAGTGGGTTTAGATAGGGCTCTTAGAGGTGGGCGGGGCAAGCATGGTGCAGAGGGGCAGGGGGAGTGAGTGGGCAGGCAGCGACAGGGCAGTCAGGGGGAGCGAGCAAGGGGGCCTGGGCAGGGGCTCTGCTACTGTCCCACCGGTGAAAGGGGTTCTAAATGATACAGTAGATTTGAGTAACCTCTTCTACCAAACTGGTTAGAACCAGGAGCAACCCACCCCTGTTGTGTACCAGTAATGTGAGATTCTGCATGTAGTCACTTATGACCTGGTCATGTCTCATATGGAATCCTGCAAATTTTTCAAGTGAGATGAGTGACATATAGATTGATTGAATAAATAAATAAATATAGAGTATTCTCTACCTGGGGGGGGGATCCTTGAAGGGCATTTGAAAGTTAGAAGTGATACAGCATGCAGCAGCATGGATAGTCATAACAGGGAATATATAAGACAGTTGTTGCAAGAGCTGCCCTGGTTGCCAGTTTGCTTCTTCAAGGTGTTATGGCATCAATCCATGGTATCTGAGGAGCTGTCTTACCCAATATTGTTTTCTGATTCCACTTATTCCAGTGTCAGAGATGTACTTTGGATCCCTTCTGCTAGAGAATTTTGACTTGTGGGGTCTAGAAGATCCTGCTGTGCACAATGGTTGGGAGACGCTTGTAGTGAGGTGCATTTTGGGGCTGGCAGGTGGGGCAGTGGATGGAACGAGGCAGGCCACGAGATGTGCATCATACAGGAGACTGGCAGCTCTGGATCTTGCAGCTTTTTCAGGTTTTTCTTAAAAGAAAAAAAACGCCTCTCCAGATGAGCTTGAAAACCTCCAAGATTGCTTCAAGAAGGGGCAGTCGGGCAGTGTTTTCCTCCCCACTCCCCACTGTTGCCACAGTGAGATGGGCAACATATCTATCTATCTATCTATCTATCTATCTATCTATCTATCTATCTATCTATCTATCTATC